AATCGCTGCCCTGGACTGTCTGTTGCAGCTGCGGGGAGGCTGGTCCCGATGCCAAGGAGGGGCAGGATGTGGCAGCAAGGCTGGCTGCTGCTTCTGGCAAGCTTCAAGCAACCAGGGTTGCCTTCCATGGAGGTGTTTGGGGTGAAAAAATAGCCTTGGAAAACAACCATGGTCCTTCAGGAAGTGATGGGAGGTAAATTCCTCGAAGAGAGAAAGGCCAGGAGTTGGCTGGCACATCTGTCTGACGGGCTAATGGCAGCAAAGGCTGGCCCAACATCTCCAGCTGTTCACCTAGCAGTGGGACAGGCTCTTTCCAACCTTTTGATTTCTGCCCTTGCAGTTTTTTGCCTTTCCCATCCTAACCAGAGCTGGTTTCGTAGAGGAACTGGAGCAAAACCATCAAAGCTTATAGTTCTGGCTTTCCTTCTTAGTAATTCTGAAGGGTTTGCTGAGGTGTTTTAGTTCCTGTCTCCCGCTTTTTTTCCAGGCCTATTCTTGTTGACTTTAAATAGCTATCAAAAAGTGCTCTGGCGCCGGGGCTGCTGTGTAGAGCTGGTGGAGACCTCAAGGACAGGCTGAACTGGTGGTGGACCACCTTGCTCTGGTGCTCTTGAGGCAGAGCAGTGGGCATGGCCACAGGGCTCTGCTCTCCAGCTGTCATGCAGGAGACAAGACGTCATGTGGCACAGACAAGGTGGCATGTGCTGAGGAGAAGACCTTCACTGTGTTCTCCATCAGCAGTTGGCCTTGGCAAGTCTTCTGGCTGCAGGAAGCTGGAGGAGCTTTGTTTCTTTTCCATAGCTCCTTCCCTCCTCCTAGCAAGGTAGGCATGGGCAAAGCCAGGTTCTTCTCCAAGCGTGCCCCGTGGAGATCCCCAGGGAAAAGCCAGTCTTTTGGAAAGGAACTGGAAGGCCAAGAACTTTCTCTGAGGGGAGTGTTTATCCTATTATTTTCTGAAAATCATTTCCTACCACGTTGGGGAATCAGCCTGCCAAAGTACAAATTGCCCAGCAGGGAAATCACTACCTCCAGATTAATTAAAAAAAAAAAACAACAAACAAAACCAACCTAGCTGTTCTCTCTCTTCCCTGTTTGGCTCATGTGTTAGGTAAATATTTGGACAACGCAGAGAATCGCCTCCCTTTCTTCTCTTTTCCAAAGGTGGGAGAAATGTCAGCCCTTGGCACTTGTGGGGCTTCTGTGCTTGCTGCGGGGCGGGCTCTGTGCCAGCCGCGCGCGGGGACGGAAGCATGGAGCAGCCTGGGAGTCGAGGTGATGGAGCAGCTCGCCGTGCTGGCCGGCCTCCTCTTCCCGGGAGAGGCTGGTTGCTGACTGCTTCATCGTGAGCTTGTTGCACCAAGCAGTGAAGTCTTGAGTTTAGCAACAAAACCCAATAACCTGAAACTGCTTCTCTTGGTGTCCTCCCTCGGTGGGAGGGAACAGACTGGTTTATTCCCATTTTTTTTTATTTTGTTCCTATTTTACTTGGTTTCTCTACAAAGTCTGTTCCAGCCCCATTTGCAAGTGGGACCATGTGTCCAGCTGCAGGACACCCAGAAACAGCGGTTCCTGCTTCATGGCTCTGAGCAAGGTGGAAGGCCACCATTTATACGTTGTGTTATGTGAAGACACAGGAATTTCTCCTTCTTTCCCGTTAAAGTCAATCCCTGAGGCGAAGCACGAGATGTGCTTGGCTGCCTTAATCAGTAGGTTCCTCATCTGGAGTGTCTGGCAGAAAAATGTTCTGCAGAAGATAAACATCGATGTTGATATTTTTAAGTCATAGACTTAAACCTGTAACTTCAGATCAGACTCTGGGAGTGGGGAGACCTGGATCAAAAATTTGTGGCTGAACAGCATCTAATAGGGCCTGAATGAAACCCACACATCTAAGCCAGCACTCATGTCAGGAAAGCAGGACACCCCAGTTGCCTCTGAGCCTTGTCCCTCAATTGCATCTCTGACTACTTACTTTCACATTTTCCACATTTCTTGCGCTTTCTTTTCATTAACTGTCTCCTTTTTTCCCCGCGTCATAGGAGGCAGCTTCAACATCTTCCCTTTTTGCTCACCTCTGCCAGACCCCGCAGCACCCAGGTTCAGGAACAAGTAGAGAGACAAGAGTTTCACAACCTTGTTTGTAGAATCATAGAATCATAGAATCATAGAATGGTTAGGGCTGGAAGGGACCTTCAAAGGTCATCTAGTCCAACCCCCCTGCAAGGAACAGGGATATCTCCAACTAGATCAGGTTGCTCAGGGCCTCATCCAACCTGGCCTTGAACGTCTCCAGGGATGGAGCATCCACCACCTCTCTGGGCAACCTGTAGGTGCAGTAAGAGGCCAAGAGCCTAGCACAGCACAACCCAAACATCGATGTTTTGGAGCTGATCTAAAGCACAAGGACAGGCTGGGTGGAGAATGGACTGAGCGCAGCCCTTAGGAGGAGAACTTGGGGGTGCTGGTGGATGAGAAGCTCACCATGAGCCGGCACCGTGCGCTGACAGCCCAGAAAGCCAACCGTGTCCTGGGCTGCATCCAGAGCAGCGATGGCAGCAGGGCGGGGGCGGGGGTTCTGCGCCAGACCCCCCTGCAGTGCTGCGTCCAGCTCTGGGGTCCCCAACATCAGAAGAACATGGAGCTGCTGGAAATGGTCCAGAGGCCACAAAGATGATCCGAGGGCTGGAGCACCTCTGCTCTGGAGACAGGCTGAGAGATTTGGGGCTGTTCAGCCTGGAGAAGAGAAGGCTCCAGGGTGATCTTATTGGAGCCTTCCAGTACCTGAAGGGGCTACAGGAAAGCTGGAGAGGGACTTTGGGCAAGGGTATGTAGTGACAGGACAAGGGGCAATGGATTTAAACTGGAAGAGGGGAGATTTTGATTAGATATAAGGAAGGGATTCTTCCCTCTGAGGGTGGTGAGGCACTGCACCAGGTTGCCCAGAGGAGCTGTGGCTGCCCCATCCCTGGCAGGGTTCACACATGTGTAAGAGAATAATTTTAAATCTAGTTTGATCTTAACTATGTGCAGTGCTGTAGAATAAATATTTAAAGCCATGCAAGACATGTCACCTGAACCGTTCTGTGATTCTATGATTTTGAGCCTGGAGACTGACTTCATTTAAATAGCAACATCCTTAACTGCATCTCTGCTAGTAGCTTAGGCTTTACAGCTGAATGTCCCATCGGGTGTGTTCTTTGCCGTCATTTCCTTCAGGAAAAGAAGATTGAAAGCTTTTATTGTGCAAATAGGTGCATGTTTAGAATAATATTCTTTTGATGGTTAAACTACTTAGGAATCTGGTTATTGTCTTATGTTTTTTTCTTTGGGATTGCTAATTAAAAAAATAATCAGTCATCTTTAGTTTGATGAGTGGGATTATCTGAGGGATCTACAAAGAGGTTCCCAGTCCTGTGGTGATTAGTGACACCTCTGACGTGTGTTTTCGAGCTGTGATGAATCTTTAATATAACAAATTAATGAGAAGGAGGGAAGGAAGGAAGGAAGGAAGGAAGACAAAGGCATCGTTTCTTTCTCTCTGTGTCAGATTGCCAGCTCCGAGTAACGTAAACAACTCCTGGTCTGTGCTGGACCATTCCTAAGCGTTAGAGGTCTCTGAGCCTTGCAAAGGACCAGTTTGTGCTGGTAACTGCTGTGGCTTCTTTTTTTAGCCTGTGCTCTGACATCTCTTTCTGTTTCCTCTGTGCAGGATATGAAAGCTGGAGGGAGCTGGCTAAGGCTCTGGCAGACACGAATGTCCCAGGTGGGGACCCAAGCCTTCAGTTTTACTATCCACAGAAGCTGGGACACCAGGTGAGGAGGCTTGGGATGTCTTCTGAATGTTTGGAAGGGCAGACCTTCCTCTCTGACACCGGCCCCAAGAGACAGCTCTCTCTTCAGGCAGGAAAAAGAGCAAAATCTGAGCTGACTCACAGCAATGCGAATGTACGACAACTCCGCCATAGTTGGAGTTAAATTAAGTTATAAATTAAGTTATTTCAGATGTACTGAGCTGCAGCGGTGGGCTGAAGCTGGCTGGGTACACAGGAAGGTATCACTAAGCAAGATGGAAGCAGAAGTGAAAGGTCAGGAGAGAGTTTGTAGCTCTCCAGTGAAGCACATCTTGGTGCTGTTGCCTTAGGGAAGTGTTGGAAGAGCTATGACTTGGATCTTTTGAAACAAGGATGGGAAAAAATAAAAAAAAAAAAGGGAAAATGACCTAAGTTCCAGCTCTATGCTAGCAAACAGTTATAAGGTGGCAGTATCCTTCCCCCTTGGTAGCTCACCATGGAAATTTGCTGTCAAAAAAAGCCAGAGAGCATTTTGATCCCACTCTGAGTGGGGTGTCCTTCGGAAAGGGGGCTTGGGAACTTGCTTTTTTCTCATGTGTCCTTGAGCTGTCTTGTGGAGGTGTCAGTGCTGGGTCATTTGTTAGGTTATTTTGACTCTCCTCTCCTTACGTTTCAGAACCGAGAGCTGCAAAGAGGTGGGAGGAATAAATTGAATTACGCGGCTGTGGACAACGCTGTCCCCTGGATGCCAGAGGTGGGTGCCTTTCTCCATCGTTTTTGCGTGAGGGAGCTGTAGCTAGAGACCTGTGCGGTGAGGCTGAAAGGCACGGACCTCTGTCTGGAATTTAATTTGCCTCACTAGAAGCCCTTTCCCTATCACCCACCCCCTCCAGGCTTAATGATACTTACAGACCTGAGTAATCATCTGGAAAGACAGGAGCGTCCAGATTCCTGATAATTTGGCGTCTCCCCCAGCCATCGAGGCACCAAGCAGCCACCCACAAATCCCTGAGAGCAGGCAGCCCGCTGCCTCCTGGAAAGGTGAAGTTTATCCAGGGCTGGGATTGCGCAGGGCCAAGCACTCAGCAAGCAAATACACGACCGTGGCACGCGGAAGCGTCACGCCGGCATTCGCTTCCTACCCAACGCCGGCGCGTTGCGTGTAGAGATTTCTCCGCTTCAGTGGCACCTCTGGTGAACAGAGACCTTCTTGGGTGACCCGTGAAGGCTGGGGTAAACATTCCCTTTGTTTCCTTCGTGCCTCATTTATTCTTTCAGCTTATTCCTTCCTCCCCTGTCCCCTTATCTGGCCATTCCTCTTCAGATAAGGGAGCAATGCCGCCTGCTGATAACAGGGGACACCAGCCAGGGGCCATTTGGCTAATGGAGTCAGCTCACTAAATTCCTCAAGGTGATTAGAGACCTGAACAAATTAGAGGGGCCTCTACGGCTGCCCTGGGGAGGGAGCAGGCTGCTGTCCTGTGCTCGGGCACCAAATGATCACTGTCTGTTGGAGGGAACGCACCCACCAGTGCCCACAACCAAACCATTGATCAGTTCTGGAGTCCCCAGCACAAGAAGGACATGGAGCTGCTGGAGCAAGTCCAGAGGAGGCCATGAAGATGATTTGAGGGCTGGAGCACCTCTGCTTTGGAGACAGGCTGAGAGAGTTGGAGTTGCTCAGCCTGGAGAAGAGAAGGCTCCAGGGTGATCTTATTGCAGCCTTCCAGTACCTGAAGGCGCTACAAGAAAGCTGGAGAGGGACTTTGGACAAGGGCCTGTAGTGACAGGACAAGGGGCAATGGCTTTAAACTGAAAGAGGGGAGATTTCGATTAGATCTAAGGGAGAAATTTTTTACATTGAAGGTGGTGAGGCACTGGCACAGGTTGCCCAGAGAAGTTGTGGCTGCCCCATCCCTGGAAATGTCCAAGGCCAGGTTGGATGAGGCTTTGAGCAACCTGGTGTAGTGGAGGGTGTTCCTGCCCATGGCAGGGGGGTTGGAACTGGCTGATCTTTGAGGTCCCTTCCAACCCAAACCGTTCTGTGATTCTATGAGAGGAGGCATTCCTTCCCTTAGAGGACCAAACTCCCAAGCTATTCCTGCTCCGTTCCTGCCTGTGTCCTTTCCCTGCACCCGTCGGGTGTTGGGGCTCAACGGGACGGGAGGAGTTGGTTACTAACTTGCCTGGATGGATTCCCGCGAGCGCCCGGCACGGCCGAGCTCGCAGCGAAGCCCAGCTGCTGGCTGCTCAGTGTCACCCAGTCGGAGGAGCTGGGCCAGGGGGGACGGGGGGGCCGCGGCCGCCCTGCTGAGACAGAAGAGCCTTATGAACTCAGGAGTTTCCAGTTGGCAGCACAATGTCGCCTTTCTTCCCCTGCTCAGCCCCTCTCTGTGCCCCGTTCATCGTCCCCGGCGCCGCGCGTTCCCTTGGCTGCAGCTGATTTGCCTCCGTGATGCCAAAGCTGCCCGGGATTAAATTAGGAAAGACCTCTCTTCTCCATCCTGCTCCGGTTCCCGTGCAGCGGGTCGCGTCTCTGCTGCTGCAATCCCCCCAGCTTTGCTGCTTGCTCCGGCCTCTGCTCCTGCTTCGCCTTTCTTCCCTGGGGCTCCTTGCTCCGGAGGGACCGCTGGGTCTGTGGTGCCACCCCCCTGGGTGGGTTTGACACGACAGGGTTTGGGCTGGGAAGAGTGGTCTGTGCTCTCCGTGTGCCTGATCTCTTTTCCCAGGAGGGGCTGATAAGCTAAAATTCCTTGCTGGAAGGAGGTGGAAATACCAAAGTCTCTTAATAGAAAGCCGGTGCCCTTGGTGCACGACCTGTGCCCATGTTTGATCCAAGCTGGGCGCTTGAAATGCTACTCTTTCAGCAGGGTGGAGATAAGCAGCTGGGATGTGGGATTGGGAAGGGGAGGAAGCCAAGGGGCAGGAGCAACCCTCTAAATGGGAAGGCGCAGACCATGTAACGCCAGCTCCCGTGTGAAGCCCGGACTCTTGGCTTCTGTTCCTGGTTCTGGCCCAGTCCGTCTATCCAAAAATTTTCAAAGCAAATGTTTTTGAGGAGAGAAGGGTAACTTAACTTGTCGCTTAGCAGGTTCTCACTTTCCAGCTCTTTGAAAAGCGGGGCCAGGTAGGTCCAGCCTGGGTAGTCCAACTCCGTATCCGTACATCGGAAAGTCCATTAACAGTTCTGAGGAGCTGCACGCGTGAATTGGGAACGATGGGGCCGTTTATCTGTTGCTGCAAAGGCCCAAGCAGGAGGTTTTTCCTGCGTGTTCCAGAGGAGACTCAGATAGCAAACAGGAATTTCTCAGCTGCCTGTGGTGGGCAGCCAGGAGTTGAGCTGGAGAGACAGAGGTGATAGGGTTTCAAACCAGCTGCTGTACTGATGACTTGTGGGGGGCCTAAAATTAAAGCCTAGCTCAGTTTTCACTCCCAGAACAGTGCTTTGGGCAGCCAGTACTTATCTGTCAATAATCTTCTTTTCCTTTTCGGAGGGAGCAGAGAGTAAGTTAGGCTGTAGTAGCTCAGGAGGAAATCTGTTGCTTTAGAAAAGACTCTGAAACCACATGCAAGAAGCGCTTATTGTTTACCAGTTAATTATTTCTAACAGTGAGCGCAGGGAAGCAAAGCGATCTCCTTAGCTCCTGCCAGCATCTCCTCTCAGGTGGCTTTGCAAAGACTTTGGAGTCAGGAGTGTCAGGCTGGAAATCTCGGGGACCACCTCTCACAGCATTGACGGAGCACGAAGTATGGTGGTGTATGCTTTATTTTTTAGTAGGCTGCCCTCTCCCTCGTACTGCCAAACTCTGCTGTAAAGTATTTCATTAGAATGGGACTGGTCCAGGGTTCCTCTGCAAACATTTGAGCAAGTCTAGCCACTCTTTTGGGACTTCCCTCATGAAGCTCTGGTTTGGTATTTGGGTGACCCCGTGCCAAAGCCAGCCCGGCTCCATTGCAATCCCAAGCCTCAGGAGCATCCCCTGGCTCTGTCCTTGCCAGGAGAGGACTGCAGCACCGGCTTCTCCATGGTGTGGGAGTGTTGTGCTACGTTCGATAGAGACCCGAGCCTGCTGCCTGCAGCGTGCAAGCAGTTCTCTAAGAAGAAAAATGGGCATCGCTGGTGGATAGCAGCAACCTGACTGCCAGAAGATGCCGTTTCTGGCAGCGACTTGCTGTGGGAACCTCGCCTGTTCACCTTACTTCACATTCCACGAGAAACAGCAATTGTTGTTAGTTGATTTGGCTGAGAAAAGTAGTGTGAGACCCTTGGGTGTAACCTGCGTTCGGCCCGGGGCCATGAGGCTACCCAGCAATTTTGTTCCAACTCACTGTTTGTCACACTTGCAGTGATTGTCTCACGGATCCCTGCAGAGTTCCAGGTTTCTCTTGGCTGCGTCCGTCGCCCCGAGCCCTCTGTGTAGTTTCTGTCTGGTTTTGGGCAGCATCACCGGCTAATTACGTCCACTTTGTCTCGCTGCTTTTTTCTTTTGCCCGATGGGTGGAATTCAGGCTGAGGGACGTCAGAAGAGGAGATGGTAGTGGGGGACAACACGGGCTTGCGGACATCTGTCAAGCCCTGGCAGCGCGGACGCCGGCGAGGGAGGGCTGACAAAAGACCACTGGAGAACAGCAGTGGTCGTGAACGTGTTTTGCCTGGCACACAGAGACGGTTTTCACGTGCGTGGCTGGAGCTCACGGCTCCCAAGGAGCGTTACTGCATAAGCTGGTGCCAGGCCAAGTCTGCTCCAGGTCCTTCCTTCAAGCCATGGTTTATTACGAAATGAAACCCCAACCTGCTGTCCTGGGAAAAATAACTCCGTCGAGTGCTTTCTCTGCCAGGAGTGCATGGAGGGGTTGGACCCTCCTCCACCGTGCTGCTTCAGCCCTGCTTGGGAGACTGCCTGGCAAAAACTAAGAATTTGCTGCCATCTGTAGACATTTGGATGCTGTTCAGGCGGCTTCCCCAGCCCTCGGCTCAGCCCTTATATAGGCAAGACCGCCGCGGCAAAACCTCCCCGGTCCCAGAGCAACCTATTCCTTTCTTCAGCGTTTCCCCATCTAAGGTAGCTTCTACACTCTCCAGCTTGTTTATTTTCCACTGTTGGACGCCTGTCCTGCAAGGAGGGTTTCAGCATCCAGCTCCGCTGGTTGCAAGGCAGAGAGTTTGGGCTTTGCTGGGATGAAGCCAATTCCTCCCTTCTGAATGGCTCTGATGAAAAAAAAGAAAGTCTTTTGCTCCCTTGAGGAGTGTATCCCTGAAATCCTACAGTGACCGAGAAGCTTTTCCCAACGAAGCTGTGCTCCAGGTCTCCGTCAGACGTGGACAGCCTCTCCTGGTGGAGAACCTGGAGAGGGAACAGCCATCTGTACCCACCCTCTGCACACCCTCCTGCGCTGTCTGGTGTCCCCCACCTCCCGCAGTGTTTCTGTGTCCCTGAAGGCACACGGAGGCCATCCTGCCCATGGATCAGCCTGTGCTGCTGCTCCTCAGCCCGCTGAGCCTCTGTATCCCTGTCCCTATTGTCGTCCGTGAACTTCACCTCACGGACGTCCTTCAAGAAGGGGATCTGCCATCTCCCCTCTCTAGAGTATCCTCTCTTCCTTGGTCAGGAAGATAGCCCTAAAATGCCAGGGAAGCCTAAAATACCTCCTAGGAGGACAGAAGACCTTACACTCTACTTGCTGGATCATGGGGGGCCGCTGCCATGCCACAGCATGTCCCACACCATGGCCTCATAGCACAGCCTCCTGATTAAACATCTTGATGGAGCAAACTGGAGTGAACCCCAGCCACCAAACTGAGCTGTCCCGGGCATTGTCGTGGTTCCCTGATGCTGGTCAGGCTATCAGCTGACCCAACCCAAATCATCAGCTGATGAGACACAAGGGTCTGGACCCACGTCTCCTGCAGACCAGCCCCTGGTGGCAGCGGCGGCGCCCTTCCCTCTCATGAGCTCTGCGGTGCTGGGAGCTGTGGCTGAGGTTGGCAGGACAGGGATGGATGCAGGGGAGGGACGTGGCAACTCATGGTGTCTCATTTCTGCCCCCCAGTTCCGAGGCCAGGCCAATCTGCACGTGTTCGAGGACTGGTGTGGCAGCTCCACTGAGCAGCTCAGGAAGAACCTCCACTTCCCTCTCTTCGCCCATGTGAGTAAGACCCCAGCACCCTCTGTCACATACTCCCCAACTCTGCTTCCCAGCTGCATCACCCCGGCTCCCTTTACATCCTGTCTCTCTCCATCACCTCCTCTGTCCTCCTGCTCTTGAGCATCTATCATCTCCTTCTCTATCACCTCCCTCTCCATCACCTCCCTCTCCATCACCTCCCTTGTCCTCCTGCTGAGGGAGCAGAAAGCTTTCACAAGGTTTCAATGATTCTCTTGCATGGGGGAGGCTCATTTTACCCATGCTGGCCTGCCAGGCCTCGGACATGGCGTGAAGGAGCCCTTTATTTGGTGCTTTCCCTCCAGGTGGCTAGTGAATGCCCCATGCCATCCTCACCATCTCACCGGCATCCCCCGTGCAGCTCTCCCCTCTCCACAGCAGCACTGGCCCTGGTTTGTCTCTCCTCTGGCCCACTCTTTCGCACTGCCCGTATCACACACCGTGCCCCATCCTCCTCCCAGCGCAAACCTCATACTCCCCTCTGCCCACCTGTCCCCTTGCTCCTAACACACCTCATTATTTTTTTTAACTCTTTTTTTTTTTCTTCTTTCACTTCAGACGCGCACTACGCTGAAGAAGCTGGCCGTGTCCCCAAAATGGACCAACTACGGACTCCGGATATTTGGCTACCTGCACCCTTTCACTGATGGTGAGGGCTCTGAGGCTGCCGTGCCGCTGCTCATGGCTCCTCTTGCGTGTCCCTCCCTCCCCTCCTGATGCTGGAGGCTGGTGCCTCCACCCCGGGAGGCCCAGCGCGATGTCCCTCGTGGGCTCAGCTGGCTGTACGTGACTGCCCGTGGCCTTGGCACGGGTGGAACGCATCCGCCTCCCCAGCAGGGTGGAAAGGAAAAGCGCAGAAGAAAGCAGATGGCAAGCGGTAGACAAAAAACAATGCTGTCCTAAACACAGCCCTGTGATGTGGACGTGGACATGAGCAGCCCCTGAGATTTTCCTCCCTCCCTCGCGTGCACGGGGCCGTACATGACATCATTGATGTTCCTTCTGCTCCCCGGGTGCGTGAATGTCAGCTGACAGCAGCTGACATCTGTATGGCCCAGCTGCACGCTTCTGCCCAGAGCAGCCCGCTAGCACTCACCCACGTCTCCTGGTCCCCTGGCCACCCTCCTCCCCATCCCTGTAACCCCGGCCAGAACAATGAGACTCAAGCACCTCTGTCTCCCTTTGTAGCTCCACGTGCACGTTCCTCCATCCAAACGTGGCTTCTCACTCAAAAATTTGCTCTGGAAACAAAAGGGGAGGCAGGGAGGCTTTGCATGGACTTCTTGGCTTTCCAGGGTAGATGTCAAGTGAAGCTGTTGGAGGAGGGATAGTGAACCGGTTGCACCTGTAAAGTTTTGGTTTCAGTCACAGTATAGTTAGAGGATTCAGAGAGGTTCAAAGGAGAAGGGTGATATCGAAAGGGAAAGTATGATCTCCAGGAAAAAGGGTGAAGACAGCATTTTGGAGGAGCAGAACCCGTTCTGTGCACAAGCCCCCAGCCCTCCTTACTCCCTCCATCTCTCGACAGGGGAGTTTCAGTTTGCCATCGCCGCGGATGACAATGCTGAGTTCTGGCTGAGTCCAGATGAAAAGACCTCTGGTCTCCAGCTGCTGGCCAGTGTGGGCAAGGTACAGTGCATGCTGCGTGGCTCCTTCCATCAAGGCTTTAATGTTTCTGCGGGATGGAGACCTTCCTGTCTCCCATACTTCCTTGGAGTAGCTAAGTTTCTTCTCCTGCCCAACTACAGACACCACCACCACAGATGCCAGCTGGGTATGACGTGACATACCTTGAGGTGTGTGTCAGCCCTGGTGTTGGGACCCCCAGGTTCATTATTAAGGAACTCAAATCTGCCCATAGGTTGTGGATCTCACAGGCAGCTTACTAAGGGGAGTAGCTCAATTTTCCCTCTCTGCTGCTCCAGCACAGTAACCAGGAAGAAACTCATCTTAACTAAAGTGTTTTCTGTCTCTGCAGACAGGGAAGGAGTGGACTGCACCAGGGGAGTTCGGGAAATTTCGGAGTCAGCAGTCAAAGATGGTGAGGTGAGTGAGTAGAGCCCCTCGCTCCCGGCCACCTCTGCGCACGGCCGGGAAATCACAAGGACAAGGAAGAAGAACCTAGACTTATTCTGAAGCATTTGGCAGTCTAGAGAAAGGGATTACTCTGGGGTGTTGCCGGAGCTGAAGTGGCACATCCACACCTGTGCCAGTCGCTTTGCAGGAATCCAACACTGAATTTTTCTTCCCTGGAGGAAGCAGCCCCCAGCGAATCCTGACTCCTCTACAGGAACTCTATCCCGAGCTTCCTGCCTTGGAACTGGCCACGTTTTCCAGAGGCCAAAACCCAGTGGGCGAGACTGAAGGGGAATTATTCAGAATTAGCTGAGAAGGGTCTGGAACCTCCAAGCCCACAAGGGAAGCTGCCTATCTCGCCGTCGGCAGCTGGATTTCCTTGGCAGCCCTAACCCTGCTCACCCTGAGAATGGGGTGGTTCCGTGGGTGCGGTTGCTTTCCGCTCATTGTCTGCTGCCAAGCTAAGAAGTGTTCCTTAATGCTCTTGGTGACACCTCATTCCTCCCTTCTTCGCAGGTTGTCAGCTGCAGGCAGGTACTATTTTGAGGTGCTGCACAAGCAGGACGACAGAGGAACAGACCACGTGGAAGTAGCAGTGAGTCTCTGCAAACGGCCGCGCTGTATGTGCGTCCCCGTGGAGCTCGGGAGTGACATTTGGAATGATTTCCCTCCTTTCCCAGGCCCCAGCTCCTCTTTGCATGAGATGTATCTAATCCCCTCCAGAGCCCTTACCTCCTTCTGTGTGGGACAGTCCTGGCCATATGTCAGGACCCTTTCCTCTTCTTGCTTGAGATGGTTCTGCTCTCTCTGCTCTCCGTTGCTGCTCTTTGTCCTTTCCTGCTTTGGATGTGTCCTGGGGGATCTCAGTTCATTCCCAGTCTTTTGCTGCTGGGTAAACTCAATGACAGTGAGGAGAAGGAGGAAGCTGCGAGACCAACTGGTGAAAAAACATCTTGTGCCTGTTCTTTTTGTTCAGGCTTGGTAAACTCCATGAGCATTTCATTTTAATGTGTTTCTCTGTTCCAGTGGAGACTGAATGACCCAGAAGCAAAGTTCAAAGTCATTGACTCCCAATACCTCTCCCTTTATGCTAGTAAGTATCTGCACCACAGGTTTCCCCGAGCACCTCCCCATTCCTCCGAAACGTGTCATTGGTGTCTCACCATGCATCATAGTCTAGGCAGGCAAATAACGTGCACAGATCATGACAAGAGAGAGGTGGAGACAGGTCAGGAGAGACCTCTGGACGAGAGTGTGGCTCGTGATTAAATGTAAGAGAATTGGAAGCAGGATTGCAACATTATTTTAGGGAAACCCAGGGTCAAGGAGGAAGGACGGAGGAGACAGTCCGCAACAGTGAGGGAAGCTGTTCCAGATGTAAGAGTAACATGGGATGGAGGTTGCCCACCTACTGTGCAGAGAGCTAGAGGGAACGTAGGGCCCATAGCATAGGGCAGCTGGAGATGACCAGGGAGAAGGGGCTGCTGGAGCGCTTCCAGGAGATTTCAGTCTGGATGCTGGACATGATGGGACACACTAGTGATATTGGGGGATGCCGCTTTCTTCTGTATCAGCCTCAAGTCTCTTCAAGCTGCTGCTGGATTGCAGCAAGCGCGTCAGCCCAGTCCCTCCTGTTTTGTAAACCCTTCTTAGCACGTCAGGTGATGCCTGTATCGGTTAAGGAGCTCCTTAGTCCTGCTTACCTTTATCTAGCTTTGTCAGCATCGCTTTCCTCTGCCAGCGTTCCCCCTCTCCCTGTCACTGTTGCCTTCCAGCATCTCTGGACTTTTTTCCATGCCAACACTTTTGCCCATTGAGACATGTTTGCTGTGTTCTGGATTGCAACTTGCTGCTGTATTTTCTGAAACCTGCCATTTGGCCCGGAGTAGACTTTCAGTTAGGCTTTCTGTCCCCTTCCTTTTCTCTTTTTCTTATTAGTTTCCTGTTATAGGGAAGACTCACATCCCAGAAGATCCCTTTGTGGTTGGGCACAGCGCTGCAGTCTCATCCTTATCTGGCACCTTCTGCCCATACAGTGTTTCCCCCTTCCGTGTCAGCCTTTGGCCATATCACACTCCATCCCATTCTTCTGAGTTCCTGTGTTGTTCCATACCCAAAAGTTGCTAACACTAACCCCAGAGCTCTTGGCAGCATGTTTTCTTTCCCTCTCGGATATTGATTCAATTCCCTTCGTCTCAGAGTAAAATCCCTGCAGACACCAAGTCCTCTGGAAACAGGACCCGAGAAAAAACCTAACCAATACCCAGCCTTGAGTTTAAGATTCCCATTGCTCCTGACTTACTGGGGGTCTCCATTCGCCTGCTGGAGCACCATCTTCCTTGGCCACTGGAGGCCTCACCCGAGGATCCTGATCCGAGGATCGTGATCCTTTTCTAGCACAGGAGAAAGCTCCGCTAATTTTTCCTCCCTTTCATCTTTTCTGTCTCCTTTTAAAAGAAATTTAATAGTAATAATTCAGAAGTGTCCAGTAATTCCTGCCAGCATGGGACTTCAGCACATGACTGCTGCTGTGTCCAAGGCAGGAGGTCATTTTCCTCCACTACTCATCGCTGTGCGCGATTGCTTTCAGTGGTGGCCATGTTCCTACCCCACAGCTTCTGTATTTCCAGCTTTCTGAGTCCAAACCTTTCCTTCCCACTCCCTTTCAGCTCCTGATCAGGACCGGATAGGCATTGCTATACCAGAGACAGCATTAGTGCCGTTTGGAAAGGGTTGACACTGGAGAAGGGTGCTTTTTTTGGGACAAGGGACCAATGAGCCCTTCCTCTCCCCTTCCGTTCTCCCTTTGGTTTCTAGACGAAACGCTTTTCAAGATGGATGAGATTGGGCACATCCCGCAGACGCTGGCCGCTCACGGGAGCCGGGCTGCTGACGGCGCCGAACCGACATGTTGAAGCCTGACCCCCGGGACGCTCTTTACAAAGGTGAGACCTGCAAAGCCGTCAAGGAGGTGGCTGCAGCAGGAGCACGGCCGAGAAGGACTGTCCTCCTACGCCACCGTTAGCAAAGACCACGCTTTTTTTTCCCAGAAGAAAGGGGCTGCATGCAATATTGGTCACTGTGGGAGATGAAGCACAAGCTAAACCCAGCTCCTTTTTCTTGGCATCCAGCTCACACGACATCCCTGGCTATAAAATTTTCATGTAAGTGCCGGAGAGCAACGTAAAGAGATGAGCTGTGCAGAATAGTTGGCTTTGTGTATCTGTCGGAATTTCACGCGGATAAACGGAAGGCAGGCGCAGAAGTAGCTGAGCTGGTGCATCAGTCACAGCAGGGCTCCTCCAGCAACGCTCCTCTTCTCTTCCCAGTGCCTCTGCTCAGCAAGTCCCGCCTGCGCCGAGCCTTGCCGGACTGCCCGTACAAGCCCAGCTACCTGGTGAATGGATTTCCTCTGCAGCGCTACCAGGGGCTCCAGTTTGTAAGTTGTTTTTCCTTCTGCGGGTATTTGCCCAGGGGAACGCGAGGAGGAAGGAGGGAGACCCCATTAACCATGGGGCCTCTCCACCAATCTGAAGCTCCTGGGTAGATTTGACCATCTGCTGTTCAGGTCTGAGCATCCCAGTACATGCCGAAGGGCAACACCAAGAGAAGGGAGAGGGGTGCTACGCGCTGCTCACGGATCTTGCTGGGGTACACGTGGGTGTGTCTTCCAGAGCCCCTCGAACCTCAAACCAAAGAGCTGAGCTTGCCTTCACACGGAACCTCACGATGGCCGAGGATTTTATTCTCCATGGGGTGAACTGTAGTCTGTGCAGGCTGCTACAGCCCCTGACAAGCTTAAAACTGGTCTTGAGGGGGAGCTCACGTTTGTGAGGCGTGCAACGTAGCGGGGATTGATCCCCTCCGGAGCGGAGCAGGCTCTGAGGTCTCCTGGGGACAGGTCACCAGCATGGTGTGCCCTCCCTGGATGCCAGTGCAAGCCTAAGCTCCCCAGGGAATTCGCGTCCTGGGCGGCTCTGGCTCCCTCAGCCTTGCCTGGAGGTCTCCCAACACGCTTTCTGGGCTCCTGTGATCCCCTGCATCTCTTCAGGAGGACTTGCCCACCTCTCTCCCAGCTAGTTCTCGCTCTGTTATAGGACTTAAACGCCCAGTTACAGAGCTGGATGGACAGATGCTGAGAGACAGCTTGAAAGGCACATCTGTGCACGCATCCCAGCACGCTTCCTTCTGTTTTCCGTTCTCACAGCCTGCTACCAGGTGCCTCGGAGAGGCAAATAGTTAGTGAGCAACCCCTGCTCCCTCCCAAAATGGCTGGTCACCCTGCAACTGTGTCTGGGACACCCTTTGGCTGGTATCTGGCATTTAGAAGAGTTTGACTTTATTTTCCTCCCTTCTTCCCAGGTTCATTTATCCTTTGTTTACCCGAATGATTACAGCCGCCTGAGCCACATGGAGAAAGACAATAAATGCTTCTATCAAGAAAACCCTTATTATTTGGAAAGGTAGGATGCTGCAAATGGGAGTTTACTAGCAGGGAGGGAGGAGATAGTTTGAAGGCTAGAATTAGAGTGGAATTTGGAGTGGAATTGCAGCCTTCCAGTACTTAAAGGGAGCCTACAGGAAAGCTGGAGAGGGACTTTTTACAAGGGCGTGTAGTGACAGGACACGGGGCAATGGCTTTAAACTGAAAGAGGGCAGATTTAGATTAGATCTAAGGGAAAAGTTCTTCCCTCTGAGGGTGGTGAGGCACTGGCACAGGTCACCCAGAGAAGTTGTGGCTGCCCCATCCCTGAAAGTGTTCAAGGCCAGGTTGGATGAGGCTTTGAGCAACCTGGTGTAGTGGAGGGTGTCCCTGCCCATGGCAGGGGGGTTGGAACTGGCTGATCTTTGAGGTCCCTTCCAACCCAAACCATTCTGTGATTCTATGATTCTATGAATTTCATATTTGTTTCTGTAGGACTTCAAGATCCCCTAAACCTCACAAAACATTAAGGCATTTATAGTTTCTTTCGATAACCTATGTTGCCTTTAAGTGCAAATACGTTCAGGTCTCGAGGGGAAACTGCCACTGCTTTTCTTCCTCTACTAACCTGGAAGCTGAGCCAGAGCATGTTTGTTCCACTACATCAGGGAATGGATTTCCAGCAAAGCCAGCAGCTGGAGCCAAACCTGGTGGAGCCAAACCATGCTCACTACCAGGCATCTCTCTGGGGGAATAAATGCATGTCCTGCATCTTCCCTGGGGTCCAGCTCGCCGCCGTGGCCCTGCGAGGAAACTGCTCCTCGCATGCTCCCCCCTGCCACAGGCAGACACCTTGCATGAGGACTCCCCTTGTTCAGGAGGACTTTTTTCCAGGATAAGTAGAGTCACTTTTCCAGTGAGATAACTGATGTTGGCCTCCCTGTGCTCAGGACCTTCTTCCTCTCTACGGGACTATTTTGAGGACTGGAACAACAGATTGTATTGTGGGTTTGGGAGGGAACTCCTGGGACTGGGGTTCATAGTGAAGGATGGAGAAGGTGGCTGGAAAGGACCACCGAGGTTTATTGCTTTGACAATTCATTTGTCTTGTGACGTGATTTGGGAACTGGGGGCCCATTTTGCTTGGCATCAAGCACGCGTGGAGGGAAGCAGTCCTGGAAATCCCTCCCAAAAGTGTGAAGCACAGGCGTATGATGGGACAGCACATAGACAGTGGTGGTATGAGAGAAGAGAGAGGAAGATTGTTGCAATTATCTGCCTGAGGCGCTTTGCAGGGTGATGACTTGCGTCTGCGAGCACTACATTGTAACTGAGCTTTAAGGAGCAGTTTAAGGGAGGGTAAAGGGGTGCTTCAGTGCACTTATATTGGGATTTCTTCCTGCCCATATAAGAAAATGTCTGAGAGACTGGGATGATAAGCAAGAAAAGGAGACATCTTTGACAGTGCAGAATAAAATCTGATTGCCCCAAGATCTGAAAGATTGTGATGATGATAGCTTATGACTTGCTGGGAAAGGAGGATCTAGAGATGCTGGGGAGATGTAATCAGAGTGATGGACCATCACCTCTAAAGCAGTGGCTATCATTTGTTTGGAGAGGGCAAAGTAACATTCATCAAACTTGTGTTTTGCCTTTTCCTCTGCAGATTTGGATTCTACAAGTACATGAAAATGGATCGGCCAGAGAAGAGCCTGGACTCTGGAGAAAAGGCAGAGCAGCTGGGTAGGGACCCTAACGTCAGAGCCCAGAAGATCCTTTTATCTGTCGCTTTTGTGTGTGAACTTCCAGTACCAGCTGAAAGAAGCTGTTGACTTTCTGTACCGAGGAAGTCACTGCCCTTTCCTACGGGAGAGCTGGGGCTAGAAGGAATTTTGGCTGCCACTTTCACTTTTCTTAAGGGTAGGCTGGGAGGTCACCAAACCGTGGGCTGTAGGGGACGATGTGACAGCCACCTCTCAGGCCTGCAACTTAGCTGAGGTGCAATTCCAGCAGGAAGGTGGGCAGCAGTGACATTTCCAAAGGCGTGCAGCATGGCAACCTGTGCTTGCACCTGCCCTGCAAAGCTGTGGTCCAGCCCACAGCTCTGGGCAAAGCTCCACAGCCTCGGGCAACGCTGGCTAATGGGTGCTGGGGACGTTGGTACCAGCAAGGGCACGGCTCCCCTGTGTGAGAGCATCCCTGCCCCTTGGAGCGGAGAGACAGTGCTGAGATGAGGCGAGAAGTAGCTGCCCCAGAGGGGTGGGCACCTGGGTGGGGACGGGGAGGGCAGCAGGAGGATGGCAGAGGTGTGACTGTGATTACTCCTGCAGGCTCCCAGGAGGGCAACCTGGATGACTTGCAGTACGTGGAGCCGGACGCGGAGAGTACCAGCCGCCCCGAGCGTGCCGGCACGGGGAGGGCAGAGCCAGCGGGCAACGCTCTCAGCAGCGTGGTGGGCAGCGATAACGTTCCTGAGGACTATTCCCTTCGGGAGCGGCGGCGGCTCCTGTCGGTGATGGGTGACGATGTAGGACAGGGGGTACGGAGGAGAAGGACGAAGAGGTCTGGTGTCAAGTCAGCCACGCTGGCCTCTGCCAACCGAAGCGTCAGCCAGGCTGATCTAGAGGGGAACCCAGTAATGAGGAGACCTCGTTTAAAATCTGGCATCAAAGGCTCCCCCAG